CTATTGAAAATGACCATAGAAATAGTGGATTTTCCCATTAAAATGGTGATTTTCCATTGCTATGTTAGTTTACCAGAGGGTACCGTTGAGGGCTACATTTCGTCCATGTTTGTTTGCAAACAAAAAGGGGATCATTGAGGGGTACATAGCCCGATTGGTGTGAGGGTTGAAGGGTCCATCTCTCATTACATGTTTACGGAGCCTTTCCTGACCTGTTTGATTCCTTTCAGCGTGAAAAGATCCAAACGGGGTAAATGGCGTGAATGCTTGGCTTTATGGTGTCATACCACTTCTCCGTGGATAATGTTACTGTATGTGATTGGTCACTGTTTGGCATATGATTCTGATACGAATTCGGGAGTTCATAGTTGATCAGTTCAATGCACACCCGGATGATGAAACTGATCAAACATCAAAACAAGTCACGTATACATGAAAAGCAGATAAAGTGTCTTTATTGAAGCAATAGAGCAAACTTTGCTTACCTGGACATACATTAACCAATCATCTACCAATTCATTTACTGACATCGTTTACCACACCAATTCCCCGGTAAAATGCGGCGGTTCGGCACGTTTGATCATGGTCCCAAAGAATCCCAAAGATGTGTCTACCGAATCACCTACTTATATACATATATATGGGATTGTTGGGTATATTCCTATATATGTATATAATATATATATATATGCCCAGTATATTCCCATTATTGTTGGTTAAATCCCATCATTAGGGGTTAACTTATGACCAAATGATTGGTTTCTCACAAAAGATTGCCACAGTTACTATAGTTGATTTTGGAGTCTCCCGTTTTAGGAAATCATATCAAATTGCTTGTGTATATATATATATATGATATCATATACTATATACATATATATGCACACCATGATGATATTTCCCATGATATAAATGATATATCCCATTATTCCCATTAGGAACCCCCCAATAGATCCATCTCCTGAGGTGAAGCTGATGGCCGCGACCCGTCGCCCCAGCGGCTCTTCGACCGCCACTTCCGACGGCACCTGGCCAAACCACCCATGCCGCTGCCGAGCCGAGGAGGCTAGGGCGGGATGGGCTAGGGCGGGATGGGGTTGGGGATGTTGTGCTTCTGTATCTTGTATTATCTTGTATTCTTTGGAGTCTTAGTTATAACTGCTAGATGAAATATGATTGAATAAATTGCATTTGTTTTAATATTTTGATATGTTTTGTAGTTATATATATTATACTGAAAAAAATATATATGGATGTCAAAAAGGGAAAATAGAGGAGAACGGAAAAGCATCCAAAAGAATTGCACACTACGAGTGATGGCTGCTTGATTTTAAGGATGTTGAAGAGGGAAGCCAGATTGACAATTTTTTTCTCATGTTTTTCCTTGCCATATCGCGGCACTATCAGATCAACATTCAGCACCGGAGAGGAGAAATATATAAATATATATATATAGAAATATGATGTGATTGAATTGTTGGACTTATCATTTTACATACTTGTGCCAATGTGGCCCCAAGTCCGCAACCTCCCCAGGTGGGGATGGTGGAAAAAAAAAACTGTCCTTTTGTGCAAGTGGCTTATCCCCATTTGATTGGCTTATCCCACCATTTGCACATGGGGATATAGCATTTAACTATGGTGACATATGGGATTTTATAGCCATATAGTTTATCATCCCATAGTGATCATCATCATTTCACCATTTGTTAAAGTGGTCGGTACCACATGTTCAACCCGGACTCGTGGCGCCGCTGGATCAGAGCCCAGTCGGGTCATCACAACTTATTTTTGGATAAATGAGTGATATTCCATGGATAAACCATTGATTATCATGTTTAACAACAGGAACACTCGATTATCCATTGTTATTGTGAATTATCAACATATCCATTGTGAAAAACTCGAGATATTGTTATCGTTAATGGATTGATCAAGATATCCAGGTTAATAACAACCTGATAATCATTAATGTGGGTAAAACAATCATAAACCATCCCCCAGTCATCACCATTTTTATAGGTGGTATAAATCATTCCCAGTCATGGGTAGGAATGGCATTTTTTTACCCACACTTATGATACAATGATTATGATTCCCAGGTTACCCTCTGGTAAACTAACATCACCATGGAAAATCACCATTTTTACTAGGTAAATCAACGAACTAAATGGCCATGTTTAACAGCTACGTCACAAATTACCAGAGCTGGGACTCCTGACTGGACGATTCCGCTGGCGATCCGTTTGCTGCGAAACGCAGGACGGGCAACGACTCATGGGCTTCCGCCCCTCCCACAGAAGGCCTGGATCCATGGTATGTGCCTGTCTCAAAATTAGGGATACCCCATGGCATTAAAAAAGAACCGAATTATTGGAAAAGATGGGGAAAGAGATGGTGAACCATTGGCTTTTGGGATAATTATCCCAGTTTTTTTTTGAACAAACCCATTCATAGGAGCCGTTGATACCATTTCGACCTCGTAGCGTAGTGTTCGATTGTATTTCATTCTTACGGGACCTTGGGACCAGCCGTTGAACCATGGATGTCCCTGTCCCAACTGGGTGATTGATTAAGATGTTCATACCAGTACCTTGTTAAGATGTGTTTATATATATATAATTGTTGTCATCCATTTCTCAGACTTGATTGAAGGGAAATTTTACAGGACCCCCCCTTTTTTTTGGACGTAAGACTCATCGTTTCCTAAAGATGCTCCCATATTTTCCCTTAAACCGATCCACTGGGTGACCATTGAAGCACTGTTTTTTAACAGCACCAAACCATGGCTCTTCAGCAGTTCCCCAGGGTAGCAACTGGGAGCCGGAGCGAGAACATCCAGCCCCACAAAGCCCACAGTCTGCGACCTATTTGAGGCCGGGTCGAAGTCAATTGGGATTATACTTGAAGGATCATCCCACTCGGTGAGTGATTAATAACCATAGAGTTCATCCATTTCTAGATGGGTTAAGCCAAGCATCAGGCACATTACCCTTTGGTAAACTAACATAACTATTGAAAATCACCACTGTTTATAGGTATATCAACTATTTTCATGGCCATGTTCAATAGCTATGTATATGAGACAAATTACCAGATGGTATTTTTGTTGGGATTACTATTGGGATTATCATATATATATATATATATACATGGTTTATAGTAGGATAATTGTATATATATATATATATACATATTGATATGCTAATATTGGTTCATATTATACTATGTTTTTTTTGTTTATATAATCAAATATATATATATAGATGTACTAACCATGGTTCCACTACCACCATCCGGTTTGATGATCCCGTCAGGAGCTGCACCAGTCACTTCGTGCTGCCCGAGCTGCTGCCGTTCTTCACGGGCCATTCCAAGGTCTTGGATGCGGAGAACCGGCAACTCACGGCGCCCCAGCGGTTGATGGAGTACCCGGCCTGGTAAACATACAAAAAGCTATTGAACATGGCCATTTACAGTTGATTTACCCATTGAAAACAGTGATTTCCCATAGTTATGTTAGTTTACCAGAGGGTATATTATGGATATATTATGGGTATATAAGGGGTATATAAGGGGTATATAAGGGGCAATTAGAATTGTTTATCTACATATATAGATGAGATATAAACATTTATATAACTGATAACCATATATGGGTAATGATTGATCTTATAACCATAACCGTTTGCATTGATCATGACCTCGCGTCGCCACGTCACGTCACGGGATCCTTGGGATTTTTGGGGATTATCGCAGCAAGCTTCAGCATCAGCTACTTTCAGGTTAGTGAATGATTAGAGTTCAGCCAGAATATATGGCAAAATATATGATTTAACATGATTTAACCAACCTATATCAGGATACTGTTGGGATATGATTGACAAATTTATCACCAACTTAATATGATTTGGCCGTGTTTGAAATGGTTAGTAGACCACAATATATTTCCGTTGTATTTTTTTGAATGACAAGTAAACAACCATGGTTTTGTTTATATTTCTTGTTTTTCAGGCAAAAGCCATCTGTCAAATAGGCTGGGTAAGTTATACTGACATCACCACGTCACTAGCGCAGGAAGATCACAATCAACCTAGAGATTTCAGGACAACCCCCTGAGATGGTGTGATGATGTGTAGAGCTACAGGTTCCCTGGCAGCTGTAGCATGCCATGCATCGAGCCATGCGCTGGCCATGTCAGACACAGACATAATATGTGTGTCTCAGTCTCGCAAAGTACGTCTAGCTACGATTCATTTGGTTGTACAATACCTATACACAATATATATATATATGTGTGTGTATATACATATGTATACATATATATATATACACACATTGATATCTACTCATGCCTATAGCCTATAGTTTAAAATTTGTACATTCTGAATCTGTACATATGGGTGGTGCATCCCGAAGTCATCCATGACGACTGGATGAGTTGGCGTCCCAGGACAAAGATGTCCTGGCTATGTCTGGAATACTTCGACACGTTCATCCCAGCGTCATCAACCTGGGTGTCTCGGCCCCAAAAAAAGGCCATGGAGAGATGGTAGTGATGGCAGCCCCACATTCTCTCAGATTTCATGGAGAAAATATGATACATAAAAATACATAAATGGTAAGTATAGCTCCAATCGATGGCATATCTATGGGGAAAATGTGTTGATTCTATGGGATTTTTCTGGGATTTGGACAGGTAGCTGATGTCATCATCTCTTCGTATCTGATCTCTGAGGCAACAATATCTTGTTGACTGACAAGTCCATGGTCCCATTCCTGGAGTCGGCCCCTGGGATCCCTGGGCATTGGGAAACTCCCAAGTGTCAATGCGAAAACCATCTACAATAATCTATATACATATATAATTGTGTATATATATATATATATGCATGTGTATATATACATGGTGAATTATGGTGTGTATATATATATATATATATGCATGCTATGTACTAGTAATCTACTTTCACACAGTCGTATCTGTGGATATATATATATATATGTATGAATTGTGTGAATAGCAGTTAGGTTTTCAATTGCTGAGCTAGATTAGCTGCAGTTCCTTCACAATGCCCCCTTCCGCCCCAGAATCCATGTTTAGATGGGATAACCCACCAATCAGGATGATCCTCCAAGTGCCCCTACCCCCTTACCGCCTTACCCCCTTATCCCCCTATAAAAACATATTGTTAAAAAACCCTTACCCCCTTTACCCCATCGAGGTGTTGAAGCAACCGCCGGGCTGCTTGTTGACGCTGCAGTTCCATCGCTGTGCGCTGGGCTATGGCTCCTGCGTGAAGTTGGCGAGCTTATTGGAGAGCCACTGCAGCTGCCGGAAGGGCGAAAGGGTTGGCTGAGTGGCTACCATAATTGCGAATGCCAGAAGCTACCGAATGATTTTTTGACCTCTATTGAAGTTTTGAATATATAATAGAAAATGTATGTATATATATAGAGAGGTATATAGAGGGTCTTAGAGTAATACATACCCTATCCTCGATCCTTTCCAAGCCTTTACTGAAAGTCATGTTTTGGTACGTTCTTCGACGTACCAAAACAAGGGCTTTGCTGGCCAGCTTGACTTTCCGGCACCCAAGGTGAGGCGGCAAAAAACCTGAGCCTCTTGCCCATGGCGCCCATGGCGCCCATGGCGACGTCAGATGGATACCCTCTGGTGAACTAACATAGCAATTGAAAATGGCCCATTTATAGTGGATTTTCCCATGAAAAATGGTGATTTTCCATAGCTATGTTAAATTACCAGAGGGTAGTATATGCTAATCATCCCAAACGACCTTTAGATTGGTGAAGTCTTAGAACTGATCCAGAAACTCTTGGTAAATGTGGCTAAGTGTGCCAACTGGCCTTGTCTCAGTTTTTCCCTTCACCCAGATATACCCAGATGAAGTGGGGATTTTTTGTGCATCACCGCCCAGCGAAAAATCGTGGGATAGCGGTGACGGTTTTTCTCGGTGATATCATGGAAAGTCATCATGGGATACCCTCTGGTGAACTAACATAGCTATGGAAAATGGCTATTTATAGTGGATTTTCCCATGAAAAATGGTGATTTTCCATTGCTATGTTAGTTCACCAGAGGGTATTATGGCTATTTTACCTTTTGGATGCCTCTTACATGTGTCAATTATGGCTATAGAATGTTGAATGTTTAGTTTCATAGATGTTTCATGAGTTCCTACAAAAGGATATTTTTGATAGCTATGTTAAACAACCGAAGTGTAGGAGATGGTCGGAGATTGACTAGCACAAGAGCGGTCATTTTAAATTAGTGGCTATATATATATATATATATATGTATATAAGTGTTGGCAACCCCAACCCAGGCAACCCAACTTCTTGACTCTTGACAGGCCCAAGAGAGCTCTACACTAAACATGACCAGCTTGGCGGGTGCTGCCCAAGTAACAAGAATCGGCAAACGGTTTCAACTCTCCACAAAGTTCAGGTGGGTTTATCCAGAAATGAAGGGCACTCCAACATACAATTTTAAAAGGGAACATGTTGATTAATTAATCAGTGGATGTTGGGGCAAACCCAGATGTTAGCGCTGTTTTCCGTCGCTTGAAACGGAGAAGTTCTAACATCACCAAAATCATTTGTGTTTCAAATGATGCCCCCCAGGCAAGGCCTAGATCCAGAGTGGAACTGAATCAACTTCTGACCGAGGAGCGTTAAATTTGAACGGCATCGCCTTGAGTTTGGCGGTTCAAGTCCATCTTGCTTCCAGCATACGCCACTTGGATCCACTTGAAGACTTGGGAGTGATGCGGTGAAGATTCCTTCGGGGCGTTTACAGCACCAGCTGTAGGAATTGCCCCTTCCTTTCGTTCTTTTTGGAACATTTTTTTTTTTTGAGTTCTTCATCAAAATGGGTTGTGGGTTTTACCCCCATCACACACAGTGTTACCCAAGGTTTGCATCCGAATTGTTGATGATCTATCTCACCATAGCTAACCATATAGCTTGTCTTATAGTTATCCTGGTTATTAATGAATTATATATTTTCACATTATATGATATAGCTTGTCTTAATGTGGCTTAGATTTATTGACATGTTCTTGTGGCGTCATGAGACAATGATACACCATGGACCGTCTTTCTCTGTTAGAACCTGCCAGGTGAACACGACCGCTTGCGGGAATTGAGCCTGGCGGACACACAGCTCACGTCGGTCACTGGGACGCTGAGGGCGGATGAAAAATGTCAAATAATGAACGTTCATATACATATATATATATATAATTTAATATAATACAATATGATATTGTACTATACTATGAAATATAACATTGTCTAATAATATGTTGTTTTACTGTATTTAATATAGTATAATTTAATACAATATTATATGAATGTTTGTCCTTGATTTAACAATAGGGCCCCCCCCCCCTCTCTGACCCTAAATAAACTTAAAGCCACCATAAAACTTGTTTGTAAGTAAAGGTTTAAAATTACCACAATTGAAAACGAATACATAAAATGCAATTTCAAAAAAAAAAAGGAATCCAGCAATTGTTTTAGTATTGATCTAGTATTCATCTCATGGATTTAGTATTGATTTAGTATTCATGTCATGGATTTAGTATTGATTTAGTATTCATCTCATGGATTTAGTATTGATCTCGTATTCATCTCATGGATTTAGTATTGATTTAGTATTCATGTCATGGATCTGGGCAAATCTGGGTTTAGGGCCAAAAACAATTAGCTTTATTCAGGGTCAAACTCTAATTAGTGCCAAGGCACCTCATGGGGGGTACCCTTGACGAGTTGATTTGGGATTGATTTTGGATAATTTTCAATAAAGGTTTTGAATAGAAAAGAGCAACCATTATTTTTGAAAATTTGAAGTTATCAAGGTAAGATCTAATGAGCTGGCAATATGAATTAGTACATGAAAGCCACCTCAAATAAAGCATGGAAAAAAAAAATCAGCCCCATCTGGGCAAATCTTTTAGGGCCAAAAAAAAATTAGCATTATTTAGGGGGCATTTATTATTTATTTTGAGAAAAATTTAGCGTTATTCAGGGGGCATTTATAAATCAGAACTAAACATTATATTATCTAACAATATTAATAACAGTAATATATTTATATACCTATATATCCTATATTATCCTATATGGGTAGCCTCAATGTAAGGCTAAATTTGATGCTGATGATTGGTAAAAGAAGTGGGTAAATGGTTGATTCTTGGATATTCTTGGTATATCATAGGAATACAATATAATATAATAGGTATATTTAATGGATGATATAACAGCCCGGATGCTTGGGATTGGAGGAATCTCCCCTTCGCACCTGGCAAGGTTTGTGGGATTTGTGTGGTTCGGGCCTTCAATTGTTGACCCTTGGTGTGTCCAATTGTTGACCATTGATGGAATACTCACCTTCAATTGAGACTTCTCAAGATATGGAACCAGAAAATTTGGGGTGTGTATTTTCTCGTTTATCTTGACAAGCGGCCTCAGAAAAAGACTGGTTTCATAGACACTTGAAGTATGATTTGTCCAACCGTAGCTGGAAAGTTGACCCCCATTGTCACATATAATATATATATACATACATATGGGTAAATCATAACGACCCCACTGCGACCTCACTGGAATCATGCTCAGGAGGGGTTAACTATCCCAAAATAACCTTAATCCATATGTCGGATATTTGTACAATAACTTTATTTAAGTACCTCCCAAAGGGACCCAAAAATGATTAGATTCAACACGAAGCCAGTTGTGGGGAGGGGATTGTGTGACACTGCCTGATATTGTTACATGTTTTTTTGTTGTTTCCCTATGGCTGGTGGTCAAGTAATGTCAAGTATATTTTTTTCTGCGTTTGAATGATGTTCAAATTTCAGGTTGATGTAGCACCAGAGTGCATATTAGTGATTCGTGTTTTCATGGGGTGTTCTCACATGACTTCCTCGCATACAAGGCTCTAGAACCAGATCCCTGCACTAAAACCGGTGAGGAATGTGTGCAAAGCATTGCGGAGAACCATCAGTTGGAACTGTTGGACTTCGGCTGGAACTCCTTTGATGCAGAGTGCTTCGCCGCTCTAGGCTGGGGATGACATGGATGACATGGATTGAGGGTCGTCAGGGACTGGCCACTGCCCAGCGCTCCGTTTTGAAGATCGCACCCTTGAATTTGCTGCACATTATCCAACCTTGATGGTTTCAAATGTGCGGCACAAACCTCCCTCAAATGATAGTAAGTACCGGCAATCATTTGTGAAATTTTGTGATTCAAACCAAGTTGCGGTCACGGAAACGCATGCGGGCGGAACAATGCGGAAAGCATACTGCACCCGAAGCCAAAACGGTGGCGGGAATGTGGTTACCCCCCCTGTAAACTAAGCTATGAAAAATCCACAATGCCTTTCCCTAGATATATGATGATATACGTTAGTTCATGTTAGTTGACAGTAGATGGTTTCAGCCCCATTGGCACGAGGCATCACGAGGCTTCCGAGGGGTCCCCTGTGTGCTGTGAGGCTTGTCGTTGTCCAACAACGTGACGTTGCGCACGCTGTCCCTGTCACGCTGTGCCAGCTGTGGGCCGTATGGACCTCCCATGGCCACTTTCTTGGAGCACCTGTCAGGTCCTGGCGATGTGGAAATCTGTTGAAAGCTGCAACGAACTTTTCAGGTGATTTTGGTTTCAAATCCAATCGAATCCCATTTTGCAAGCATCAAATGTTCTGATTCATACCCATATCTTCAATGCGTGGGTTTCTTTGTGTTTGATAATTGTGATGTGACACATGTTGAGACAGTTGTCTTGGACCCAGTGTATCTGCCTGGCAGTTGCATGTCGCCAGGCATTCAGAACTTGCAGGACCTAGACATCTCATCAAACCTGACGCTTGGCGACAGTGGTCCTTGTTTTGGGTTGCCAGTGGTGCAGTCATCCCTGCAGTCCTTGATGACAAAGGTGACCAAGGAAAGCGATGGTGTTTTGTTGTTTGGTTCGGGAGGAAGACAGCATTTTCTGGCGAAGACCATGTGAAAACCATGTGATTTTGCAGTTTGCCATGGAAAGATCCACCATGCTATTAAGAACGGTATGGCCCATCTATTTCGATTAGGGCCATCTATACCATGGCAAACTGTGAAAGTCATAACCAGAGGGAAAATCCCATTAGATTGCATTAAACCACCATAAATCCCATGAAATCACCATTAAATCACCATTAAATCACCATTAAATAGCCATGGCCCATAGCCATTGAATAGCCGGGTGACCTCATCAGGATTGACCATCGTGGAGCTCTGATGTTGGAAGACGTGTTTCTGGGACGACTCTTAAAAACGGGCTGCCGTTTAGTGAACTGGGAGGAAGGGACATGATATCATTTGTTTTATCATTATTCATATCGTTATATATTGTTATTGGTATTTTTTAATGTGTGTGTTGTTATTATTGTTGTGATTGGTTGTATGTTATACATTATCTATGGTCACGACGTGCACTATTTTATAGAGTTGTAATTGTATACATACCGTGTTATATGCATAGATAAGTCGTGCATAAATGTATGTTGATGTGCGGGCAAGAGGTGTTACGGAAGATTTCTCGGGCTTCTATATAATACTGGTACATATGTACATATGTATATATATATATATATGTATATGCGTGTAACCCAATCTAGTGGCTATTGATCCAATGATTCAATGTTAATTCTATGTGAGAAGCCCTTGTAGATTTGAGATTGTTCAATCTGCAATGAATCTTTCCTGCTGTTGGGTGATGGGGAAGACAGGATGCAGCCCAGCAGCCAGCACAGTGTCAGAGGTTGGCCAATCATCAGAACTTGAAGAAGATGAACGCGGCTCGGGCTGAACCTTTGTTGGAGGGTGTAGGCACAAGGTTCACTGGCCCCAAGTGTTACCAAAAAGGGGCTAACAAAATCCAATCATCACCAGGCGCATCACGGTGCTCAGCCCAGGTCTCCGACAATCCACTGGGTCAATTGGGCCTCCGATCTTTGCTGCGGCTCCTTTGCACCCCAAGCGCCTCGCTTCGGCGTTTCGAGGTCAATGGCTTAAGTGAAACTTGGCGGCACCAGCCTCATCGGAAAAAGAGTGCGGTAAGGGGGTCTCCACCCTAAATTGAGCCTTTGTTTGATTTTGGACTTATGATAATCATGTTTTTTTCCAGGTGAAATGGGAATCTCCAAACATGATGTGTAATGGTTGCATATGGTTGCATTTTCTATCTTGCGAAAAGCTGCTGGATGATATGTACACATGGATCTTTAAGTACAATTTATTAATTTGTCCATTACGGCATGTATATATATATATATAGTATCGCGATGTATCGCGTATTATCCCCTTTATCTCCATGATTCATATCCCTCAGGCAACATAAGGCAACCCATCTCATACAAGAGTTGCTGGATGATAATTCCATTGATAATTCAATGGACAATTCAATGGACAAGTCAATGGATAAGTCAATGGATAATTAAAGTGGTTTTTGGTGGGATTATCCCAGATGATTGTTTTGATGACAACTCAATGAGATCATTGAATTGATCCCACCTTAGCAATTGGTTCCGCTAAGCATAGTTATAACATGTTATAACCTAATTAGATGAATGGGATAGCCCCACGAAGCCGGTCGAACTGGGGTTCTTAGCCACAATGTCATCACTGTATATTACGATGTGTTCATTCTTTTTTTTCAGCACACAATGGGTACAGTAATAACTATAATAACCATAATATACACCACTTACAAAGTTCAGATAGTTAGGATTAGTTAGGATTAATTAGGATTATAAACCACTTCCTAACATTAACATGTATGAACATACATTAACCACTTCCCAAGTGACTTACGGTCAGTAGATGTCAGTAGTTCACCGGCCCAGGACGATGCTCACACGGACTTGCGGGATCCCTTCTTTCGACCCAGTTCTCCAGGACCGTTTCACGGTGGTTTTTGTTGTTTTTGAGCCGTTTGAATTTATAGGGATCCCTATGATTTAGGATTTTGACATCATAGGGCCATAGGTGACCATAGGGATTGGGTTCGAAACACGGTCCCCATGATTTTACATCATTTTGCAGGGAGAATGATGAATTTAGCCATCATTTTGCGATTTTAAAGGATTGAGCCGTCCAAAACGTGGGGATAGAATTGATAAATGATGGTTGACTTGTTATTGTAGGGGGTTGTACAACCAATTCTTTGAGGCTTACGCACGTAGAGACATGTAAAAAAGACCACAATTCTCGGGATACTTCGCAGCCAACCTGTTTTCGTTGGGATGGGGGCCGGGTATGTAGGGCTATTTTCATCATGTGAATCAACCGAGCAAACAACCGAGCTTCCATGGAAATTCATGGGAATTCCTGAAACAAAAATAGATGTTGTGGCTGGGTTTAGATGGTTTTAAAAAGTATATTTATCGAATTACCACACTTGGGGAACAGCTAGGGCATTCACGCTTGGTCGTGCGAAAATTTTGGGCGGAAGTGTCACTTTGATGTGTGTAAAAATACTCGAGTAAACCAGCTTTGAGTAGTCAAGTAGTGGTTTTCCCCACCAACTAATCATACAGTACATCGTAGTCATTTTCTGATTTGATTTTCACTATACATCTAATTCTTCGTGCAGTAGTGATCATTTCCACTTGGATGTTCATCCCAACAAGAAACTCAGTGAGTGACTGACTCTATAGTGAGTGACTGATTCTTTTATCAATAACAACAATAGGAATAAGCCCAGTTGGTGGACTCTGCCATATAGTAACCCTAAAAAGATGGAAACACTTTCCAGGATGGTTTACATCCATGGAGGTTTCCTCAAATTGGGGTGCCCCAGATCATCAGTTTTAGCCCAGGAGGTGTGTATCAACTGGACTTGACGCAGCCCTACCACCGTAGCATCCTTCGGATGTTGTGCAAGGTAGGGAACCTTTCTCTATGTAATCATGTGAATCATGTGGGTATGAAGTCAGATCTGGTCGGTTCTAGTATAACTTAAGTGTGACATCCTCCATTTTTGCCGGTTGATGTATGTATTTTGAACATTTATCATGTATAAACTACGATTGTTGACCACTATTAACCACTATTAGCCACTATTAACCACTATTAACCACTATTAACCATAAGTATTAACCATTCTTGATATGTATTATATACCCATATGATATGCTGGTCACTGGGTGAACTCCTGGAGAGACCTGGAAAAAGGATTGAAAAAGGTACACAGAGTTTCTGGACCACATGATAGTATAACATGATAGTGATAGTATAATGGATACCAATGGTACCCATAGGATCCATGTATGCTATATATGGTAACATTTACCATCAATATACCCCCAATGTTAGCATATATACCATACATGGATCCTATGGGTTATGATGAACATGAACTCATGTTTATTTTATGATAGTATAATAGATACCAATCGAGCCTATGTCTCCACCAAACATCATCTGTTGCAGCTAAACATTGTTTTCCCGGAACAAACAGCCGGGTATGGTTTAATCTTCAGAGCTTTTGTGACCTGCAATTTTCAACAATGTGTGGATTGGGCAGGGATTCTCATGATTACGATGACCATTAGTTTTGTGAATACCGGCTTTATTTATAGACAAGAAAATGCTGTTATGAATATTAGGTTATGGCACTTGTTCAATCAATATTTTACAATATGTGTGTTTCTTATTACTGTACACGTCCATTATACACATAGCATATCGTTATCTACATATTGGGGGTTGGTAAAATGGGGGATCCCCAAGTCACCAAAGGTTTCAATACCAAGTCATGGTCTAATTATTAATGACTTGGATCATTGGGGGGATACCCCCATTTTAAGACACTCCCACACACACATACAGAATATATTTAATATATGTGATGTCTATATTATATATATATATATATACACTATATATATATATACACTATATCATTCCTCCCATAGCTTATATACACAACCGCTATCAGCAACTTGACACAAAAATCACGTTGGCAAACGCCTCGACGATCCTCGACGCAGACCGCCGAGCACCTGCAGTTGCAGCTCTCGGAGGCGCTGAGCTCGGCCTCCGGAGGCTGGCCCGTGCCAGAGCCGCTTGGCGTGGTATTTTCAGCGGTGTTCAAAAGCCTTGTTGGTTGGTGATTATAGTCATTTAATACTATTTCATATGGTTTTAACCATCAAATATATAATGATATAAGTGGATATAACATGATATAACTGATACATGATGGTTGATGATTAGTTCGCGGATTATGCTACCTTTGATATCCCGTTATATATTGGGGATTATACTAATCCAAGAACGGGGAATCCCATTCTTAACCAACCAGTACTTCATGGAATGAAGAATGTTGGGAATGAGGAGATTTTGACCAGCTAAGAAAAACGAGGGGCGTTACGGGTGGTTTAGCCCGGGAAAGTGTGATATTTATCATAAACCCAGGGGTCTCCAGAGATGTTCCAGATGTTGCAGGGCATAGCATTACTGGTTGTTCTGTAGTGCTTTAGATAGCTCCGAGACTGGGAATTTCTCAGCGGCAAGAAGTGGGTGGAGTGGCAACAAGATTCAAAGATGTTCACTACATCCAATGATATTCCATTGTGTTGGATGGGTATTATTTGGGATTTTGGCGTGCGATTGTTTTCAGAAACAAACAGATGTGTCAGGGTCAAACCATATGGGTTAGTTTCTCATATTGGGGGATGGTCATCAATCCATGAATAGGGAGTACTATGGCATGGAGTACCGTAAGCAATATACCATGTTTGGACCCGATAGCACATATTTTCGGAAGCCTGGATGATCCACTGGCTTGGTCATAAGTGACAAGCCAAAACCTTCCCTGGTGTTCCCAGGGTTCCCAGGTAATACCCTTATTGGTATATAATACGGTAGTACGGTATACAGAATTTTGCCACATCCCATGAAACCACCATTGTTGTCATAGGGAAACGGGCCATGTTCTATAGCAAACTGTTAGATTTATCGGATATTTCTCCATGCAAACTGGACATCGTACCTAGTCTAGTACCGAGGAAGGTGGATGGAAACTGGTTCCTTGGCAGTGGAAATTATCCAGTAGCCAGGGGGTGCGAGAGTTCGTCTCGATGAATTATGCTTGGGGCTGCAGTTCAAGTAATAACTAGGTTAGCCTTGGATGGGTACTTTAATCCTTCAGTCTTTTGGTATGGGATCTACTAACCAGCTAGTATATACATTTTTTGCAGGGAATCTAATATTGGCCATGACAAGTAAAATGTACAACCACAGTTCTGGGGGTTATCATGTTCTACCACAACGGCCCTTTTTGGGGTTATGACCATGTCGGCGAAGAGTCCATCACTGGACCATCCCCAAATGGCAAGTAACTTATTTGGAGAATATATGATCCGGGGGGCAGCAATAACTTAGCCTCCTGTAAAAAAATGCTACAGTTTGCTATGTTTTTTTTTGTTGGCCCATTTTGTTCTATGGTTTACCTTTTATTCTCTGATGATTTCAACAGCTACGAATGTAAAGTAAGGATAGTTAAGGTATCTAGAAGTGATTTGCCGTATTCCGTATAATATATATATATATATATACATATTTCACTAGGGGGCACGGAATTCCATGCGGGACTGCAATCTGCTCTGTTGTTTTGGTATTCTCCGTAATTTGCAGTGTTTGGATCCATGAACGAAGACCAGAACCCGAAAATGACCCAACCTAGATAAACCCTGAACAAACCCTAAACCAACGCTAAATCCACCATAACTAACCCGAAAGAAACCCTAAACAGTTTTTAATAGCACCAAACATTATATATTTTAAAAAATAAATTTAAAATACACCCCAAACATCCCCGAACCAACCCTTAAACAAAATCTAAACCAACTTGAAGTAAACCCTAGTACAACTTTAAAGTAAAACAACCCCAAACTAGCCCCAAAGTAACTAAACCCCAATTAAACTTTGGGCGAACGCCCGCCCGGAGGGACATATTCGTTATATCTATATATATATATATACATATAAAAAATATATGATCCTGTTCGAAGTGGACAGTTGATGACTTCAGCCTATTCTATTTTTTCTGGTACTTGGCTATATATATATATATATATGTATAAATATATATATATATATGTGTGTGTGTCTAGAATAGTGCTAATATGCAAATATCATCAAATCTATGCAGATATTCTCTTAGGGACTATACTTCTCTGACCTCTGAAAACTAGGATTTCATCCGATTTTCCCGATCTTCGGTTGAATCCCCCATTGGTTGGTGCAACCTTGGCCGCCAGGGTGGTGCAACCCCGTGGTGCGGTGAAGCTGCGCTTCAACGTGGAGAAGGCGATGGGGAAAGGTTTGACCCAGATCCTTGGCAGCCGGGGCCATGTCGTTCTGGGAAATCCCCCAAGGACATGGAGGTAGCAATAGCTTTCATGATGTACTTGTAATGGGAAACACATCGAACTACCTGGGGCATGGGGGTTTCTTGTTTCCTAGTTGGTGCATTAAAAAAAAAAAAACTGCCCAATTGACACAGACCGCCATGAACCTCTAGAATAGCCTGAGATGATAACCATAGATTCAAGGGTGCCGGAGCAACAATGCAGATGCCGCAGATATAAAGAACGTCATGCCCCGTTCCCAGGATTTTGTCGACCGTTCAACTGTCGACTCCCGAGGATCACCCTCTGGTAAACGTTTACATAGCTATGGAAAATCACCATTTTTAATGGGAAAACTCACTATAAATGGCCATGTTCAATAGCTACGTTAAATTACCAGAGGGCAAATGGTAAAAATCCATGGGGCATGGGACCCACATGAAAGTTCAATGGAATGATCTCAGCCAGTGAGCCGCCACAGAAAAAGTCCACCATTCCAAAGTCACCTTTCGATCGGGTGAACTATCATACCCTCTGGTAATGGGAGCATGGCAATGGAAACATATGGAAACTAGGTCACCAGAAGGACTGATTCAATAGGTAGGTCTAGTATCCTTTAGCCATGAACTACCAGATCAATTCAATTTAAATACCCAATCATCCATATGAAAATAGGTTCATAATCCCTAATGGATTGGTTTAAGATGGTTTAAGGGACAATTTACAGGAATACCTGGTCCTATATTTGATGCTAAAAACCAGAAACTTTCCAGTTAAGATTTTCCCGAACTAATTAGGGGCTGTGCCATTTTATGGACCCCCATAAACATCATCCAGTTATCATAATTCCTCACGGATCATCAACAAAATCTCCATGGCTTCATTCAAAAGCCTCGGGGCTCCCAGGGCCTGGGACTTCTCTTCGCTGGTCAAAATGCATGTGCAGTCGCTCAAGCGGCGGGTCCAGCGGAAGCCTGGTTAAGCGGTTTATTTGATTTTTGAATAGAGATATGATATATGATGATATATAAATGTTGTACATATATCATATATTTGTACATATGTTTGTACATATATCTATTTGTACATATATTTGTACACATACATACATACATATATATATCATATATATATATATGTGTGTGTATTATATTATTGTATAATGCATTTCGCAATATATATATATACATATCTTTATATCTTAAGTCCTCTTTTGGGGGATAAATGTGTATATAGAGAACATATCAAGATCCCTGAGCAATGGGGGAACTTGCTGGGTTATGTAGCCTTCACTGGGTCAAAATGGGGAAGTTTGGGAGACCTGCCAGCATTAGCCATGGCGACAATCAATTGTTTCAAAAAAAAACGCATTTGGATACCTTGTCCCTATCATCACTGTTTCTTCTTTTTTTTGCATGGGTCATTTGGACTTAATTCAAAATGGGGATATATCAACCCAACCTACTGCACCATGATAGTGGTCGGGGTGTCGACATCGATAACACTTGGACCAATTTGACACAATCCGGTGTGGGTCAAGATTCTTTACCCCCAAACCTGGATGGTTTATATATATCATATACCAAAAGACACGACAAAAATCAAAAAAACGTATCTTCCATTAGCCATTGTGAGATGTCTTTCATGTGGGTCCCTACCGGCTGTGGGTTTTTGGGTGGAAAGTCAGAGCCTTTTCGAACGGAGGTATCAAAATACCATGGATCATGGTGAAATTGTGTCTCTTGGGTGACAACCGGGTTGGGTATGGTTCGGTATGGTTTTTTCGGGCGTTCGGTTTGCCACAGCCAGGAAACAAATTCAGCTGCTGCTGCAATTTTGGAGCCTGAGATGTCAGATCCAGGAGCAAAGTCTGTTTCTAAACGCGCTGCTTGGTGCAGATCCAGGGGGCACCGGGCACCAATTGAAGATCCTCCCCACGTGAAGATATAGCCTGGAATGCTATGGCGAAGTATAGCACGACAGCTTGGGGTCAGAGGTACTAAAGGACCCACAAAGTGTTGCTCCAATTTCCTTGGTTTCCTGATGTTTGTTTGTGTTACAGTGTCATGTTCCAGACAAAGAATGGACATCACGTTTCGTGCCCCCCAAAAAAAATGGACCAAATCTGGCTCAAACTTGGAAAACAACTGCATCCCAAGAGCGGTTCTCATTCCACCAAACTCCAAGGTTCTTAGTGGTGCTTAAGCCCTTCTCGTTGTGTTGCTTAAGCCCGGTAAACTTGAAACCTTTATTGGAGGGGTCACCTCTAGACGGGGCTTGCTTTCCCCATGAAGTTCTCAGGCTGTCGAAGGATTTCTTCTTCGATGCCCCACAGATCCTACAGCTCTGCTGCGAGCGAGAGGTTGCTGCAGAGGCGCCATCAATCGGGGGAAAATTAGATGAAACTATAGCTCTAAGACTCTAAGATGCTATTAGCACATGTTGGAACAGATAACCCGGCGGGAGGGAAGGAGGGGAGAGAGAGAGAATAAATCAATCAATCAATCAAACAAAAATGCCAAAAAACGGAAGGGTGCAGGGGTGGTGTAGATCTGTTTTGGGTGCTTTCCAAGATTTATGACTTCTCCATCCCTCGCTTGGATTTTCTTTTTTGGATGATTGGTTCAACGGTCATTCGCAGGATATGATCCGAAATCAATTCCACCTTGCCCGTTACCATCTGGTTATTTAACATAGCCATGGAAAATCACCATTTTTAATAAACCATCTATAAATGGGCCATTTTCCATGGCTATGTGAGTCATACCCAGAGGGTAACAGGCAAGTGTTGCAGGCACCGAAACAACACCCGGTGATGACATGAGGTGATTTGGCGCCTGTGGCATTGCAATGAGCCAGGAGCACATTATCTCAGCCTATTGCAGGGATCACCGCACCTTAGTTCCTGGGACGATGGCCAGTGGAATGTGGAAGATGGATCTTCATGGATCTTCTATATGGTTGACCCGACACCTTCACCTACGTATGGAGGTATTTGCATATGATATGCAGTTCAAAAATGTAGCAGCTCATTCATTCAGTTGGCTTGTGTGTGGGTGCGTGTAGTTCTTACGAAGATTGTCACTGTGCACGTATGAGTATACATATACATATCATATACGTCATATACATATACATACATACACATACACATACACACATACACACACACACACATACACACATACACACATACACACATACACACATACACACATACACACATACACACATACACACATAACACACATACACACATACACACATACACACATACAACATACACACATACACACAGACATACAGACATACACATACATACATACATACATACATACATACATACATACATACATACATACATACATACATACATACATACATACAGAGAAAGACAGAGAGCGAGAGAGAGAGAGAGAGAGCGAGAGAGGTCTATAATGTTTACATACGTGTGACAAAAAGAGATGCATTGACATGGATTTACAGATGCAATCAAGTGCACATCTTTATACATACACACATGCGCACGTTCACATATGTAGGATTGTTTGTTTGCCTGTTTGTTTGTTTGTTTGTTTGTGTGTTTGTTTGTTTGTTGGTTTGTTTGTATTGATTTGTAGGTTTATTCATGTCTGTCATGTATTTACATAATATATATATGTGTGTATATATTTATATGTGTGTGTGCATGAGTTTATATGTATAGGATTATGTGAATGTATCTAATATGTTTTTTGCACACATGCATATGGTATATATATATATATGTGTATATATGTATGCATATATGCACATATAATATATGATATATGCACATATAATATATGCGGCTACTCACAGATGCATAATATATGCATATATGAAAGGGAGATATGTGTGTGTGTTATGCTACGACATATATTCAGTAGTTCGTAGATGGATAGTCACACACACAAAAGATGAACGCAAAACACTCAGGTGCTTATGTGAACGTTTTGCGGCGGTCGGCGCAACTCCTGAATTTTAATCCGCAGAACCCTAGTGGGCACTATAGATCCTCGGCAGAAGACATGGGAGATTCACCCGCAGGATGGAGAGAGATTCACCAAGGATTTTTGTGGGTTTGTTGGTGTCCAATACTGTGAGCAGATTGCCAGTTGCCATTTCTGGTTGAGCCATAGCCGCTATGGAAATAGGACCCGAAGCCCATGACCACTCAAAGTGTCGTAAAACCATCCACAAAAAGATATGCAGTAACCTCAGTAATTACATGTCCAAGAAACAAGCTAAGCCTCAAGTAAAAAAATCAACCGCCAACAAGAGGGACTTCAACTTAATCAAAAGATTTTTTCAGCTTCAAAGCGTAGAGACGTGTCCAATCATTTCGACAGATGGGTTCACACTGCAGATAAACGCTCAGAAATGCAGCGGGATTCCTCAGCAGGAGTCTGTACCCTGTTGATCTTAAGTGCAGGCACCCTTAGAACTCTAGAGGAAAGAATGTGATGAACTCGATGGTATGCTTAGATCATGGCAGATCCACCTAATTACTTCATATTACTTCTACTTCCTCCCGCTGGGTTGGAACATGTTGGAACCATTCAATTTTACACCAAGATGCCGCATCCAATTTTGCATGTTACACGTTACACCTCGTTACACCCCCAAAAAAAAATGCAACCACAGTGGTGGATCTAGCGCTCAAACCTTCGCTGTTTGAGGTTTGGATTTGGCGAATTGCTCCGACTTTGAACTGGGACAGCGCTTGCTGATTTTGGATCGCTGGGACCCTTGGATTGCACCACATTGCCTGAAAAACCTGCCGCCCTTCGCGGTGGTCGTTGTGAAAACCGCTTCATTTGGCAACCAACTGTCTGCCATGGAAAATACTTCGGGGAAACAACATGTTCCCATGCCGGAGATTTTCATAGCCATGTTACATTGTATAGTTATACAAGAAGTTTTTGGCGTTTTTTTTGTTACATAGCAATGGGCAAGGATCCATAGATGACCTAGACATGATAGACATGTCGATTTTCCAGGAGGGTATGCTTCGGAGTGAGATGCGGCGGCGTGATGTGGGACGCAGGTCGCTGCTGGATGGAACTGCGGATGGAACTGAAACAGAACCATGATTTACTGACGGATCAGTAAACCTTGGATGAGTGGTTTTAGCTCAGTATACTTCTGTATGTAGATATGTTCTTTATTGTTCATTGGTATTTCATTGGTATGTGCTCTAAATGGGTAAACAATTATGCACTAACCAGCTAAAGTTGCTGGTTTTGTGCCCATCCAGGCCTGGAATTAAACGGAGACCAGGCAAAGATGTTGGCTTAGACTCTTTGACCGAATGAATATATGAACATGGATATACAAACAACATGTAGAATTTACCTGTCATAAGATTCATAAGTCCTTGGATGGTTTTTTCCAGATTTTTTCCACAGGAAAGCCCAATGTTCATGTGGAAAAGGCCCATGGTTTCCGGTGAAGATTGTTAGATCAGGCCTGGAAGCTGCATTTTTGATGAATGCTTCAACAGTGAGGAGCTGACCACAGGAGCCGCGGGCCCCAACCACCAGCCCTGGGGGCCCTGGCCATTTTCTGGGGAAATCCGAAGTGGATGAGTATTGCAACTTAAACATCTTAAACCCTATCCGGATGAATAGGCTTTCTTGATCTTTCTTGTGCAAATGCATTTTTGGCCAGAAATCGATGGGAACATTTAGATTTAATCACCAGCTATCAAAGATTCGCCACGATGTCTGGGATGCTACCAATGGCTAGTACATTCCCAAAATAATGGTTCATTATCTCCCCAAAACGTTGGTTTTCATATTGAATCATTGCTGTCATTGCATGTCATTGCTCTAATTAATACATAATATAATCGAATTTTGGGGAATGACTTGGGGGCACCTCTATTTTTAGAAAACCGCATTTGGGGCTTTACATGGCTTGGGGATGTTTTTACGCTACTTGGATCTCAAAATATGTCCATCCGAAGCACCAGCAGTGCTCCGGTGGTGGCGCCAACTTTTTTTAAATGTGGAGCATCTCTTCTTTGGGGGTCGATTTGTGTGCTGGAAAAACTGAGAAAAATAGAAAATCGTAACAAACCAAAAAAAAAACTAGGTTTCCATCCACTTTTGTGTCTTTCTTGCATTCGGGTCCTGCCAAACTCCATGTTCACAAAAAGAAGTACGGAAAAAAAAATTGTTTGGTTGGTGATTTGGAACATTTTTTCATATATTGTGAATGTCATCATCCCAACTGACGAACTCAGATTTTTCAGAGGGGTCGGTGAAGCACCAACCAGTTGTTCTTTTGGCCAGCAATAAATGCTGGATCTTCTTGGGTCCTTTGGCCACCCGAATCCACCCCGATGGCCGCGAGCCTCGGCCAGGACTGCTGGATTGGCGCTGGCATGAGAAAGGCATCTTGGACTTGGACTACGGCTCCGGAAAGCGGCTGCCTGGGGAGGTCGGGTCTGGCGGTAGTTGTGGTGGTGGTGGAGAAAGTCCCGTATAAGAAGGGGACCGAAGAATGGGGATTTTTTATTTTGAATATTAAATTAGTAACTATTGGCAATAATGGTTAATGTTGGTTAATACTGATAATATTAGTAATAATGGTGGATAATACGGTGAATAATGTGGGATTCACAGATTTACCCGCCATAAACAGTCCTACCATTAGGGGATGGTTGGACCCCATGGAAAGTTATTGGGGATGGTAAAAATTGCATTGGGCTGATCAGAACATCACATTTTTTGGAGATAGTTGGAAGTTGGATCCAAGCTACTTCTATGTTGCATTGGTTTCTGTTCCTCTTTTTATATGGTTTTGGTATTTTGACGGCTTAAAGTGGCGGCTTTCTGATGAGTTAGAAATGCCTATTGACATATTGATGTTATGTTGTCCCGTCATATCGTACTCAAAAGTCATGGCTGCCATGGCTTGGGACACGTTGGGACATGCCTTCGCAAGCCAGGAGGCTCCAATAGCCGATGAGCAGTTTCGCAAGCTTTGTCAGGCCGCCTCCGGCAACCTGAGGAAATCCTGGTGTTTGGCTGGTGAAAAATAGGTTGAGTGTGGTTGAGTAGCCTTTGGTAATTTAACATAGCTATTGAGAATGGCTATTTATAGTGGATTTTACCATTAAAAATGGTGATTTTCCATAGCTATGTTAGTTTACCAGAGGGTAAATCATGTTTAAACCCCAGTTGCAAACTTGGAATCTTGTGGGGGAATACCCCGCTAATCTTGTGTATTTCAGCAGGGAATCAATGCAATATCGAGCATAGTGGCAAAGTCCATTCGCTTCTGTTTCCTTGGTCTACCAACCCGGATGAATCCCCCAAAATAGTGATAAGGTGCTATGAAAATGATGGTACCACTGGTACCACCCTCAATTCAAACAACCCACGGATCATGTTTTTGTCTTTGACAATCCGCTGCAATAAGATACAACAAGAATGGCAGATCGCTACCCCGACACAGCAGGCCTTGTTGTGCTCCCAGCTGTCGCCCGAAGCCAAAGTTGAAGCTTTGCGGCCGGCGTCCTGGACCAAGATGGGTAGAAACTAAGTCCTTTAGTTTTTGTTTGCTATAAATGATCATTATAAATTATCAATGGAAAATAACTATTAACTGAAGCATAATTATTTTGGAAGAAATGGAAAAACTAACTATAAACAGAAGAAGATTAATTTTGGACTACCAAAGGTTGACCATGGATATATGATGAGATAGGATGACATACGCCAATATATGTGCGATGCCCACGCTATGAATTCTTAAACATTGAATGGAAAAGTAGAAGATGGCATATCTCCCGTGAGAGACGTTTGTTTCAAAGCTCCACTTGCTCCAGTTTCGATTCATGGAAAGTCTGGATGGATGAGCGTGAGCGTTGATAAAAGGAAATGGTATGAAATGATGAGCTCGAACTTGCCAACCATCACCAGCCTGATTTTGGACTGTGGGATCCCCGTTTTCAGGGTTTCATGGATCATATTGGCAAATTACCAGTCAAGCATGGAGTGAATAGCCTTTATTTCACACTAGCGTTGCTGGGGGCAACCTCGACCAATCCCCTAGGTTGATTCCCTCCCAACATCAGGCACTGAATTCAGAAACTAAAAAAGAGAACTCCTTTTGGAAGATGTGTTCCTCAACTCCCAACAAAAATGAACAGGATACATCAGTTATATAATATATATATATATAGTTATATACTTTACTGTAGCTCTCCTGAAGTCCTTGAGAAGGCAATGGAGGAAAGAAACGATCAGCAGCCGCTTGAGGTGTCCCATCACTTCAACTTTTCCGCCTTCCAACTTCGAAGTCTCTGCCTGCAGACGGCCTCTCCTTCCGCGCGCGCGGAGCTCTTCGAGATCTTCCTGCAGAGGTGCCGTGGCGGAAAATGTTGCGGCTGGGATGCCATGAAAATATCGATTTCACCAAGACAGAGAGGTGAAATTCATGGAAGTTCACAGATGGTTGATAAGCAGTTGGTTGTTTCAACAATAGATGGAGGGAATGACGAAGAACAAAAGGGGCATCAATTATTTTGATGGCTTTTGCCAAGATATTTGATGGGGATATATCCAAGTTTCCATCGCTGGTTGGTTGATAACCACCAATCAGATCATATCAACCTAAGCTCGCATGAATAAAGCCAATCGGATGGATTCAGAACATAAGGGTTTTCTTTATTGCTAATGTTGGCTTCCGGACTTCATGATGGAAAGGTCAATTCATGTCAATTCCATAAGCCACACCACTTGGGTTCTTTGCCATCCAAGTTTATCCAAGTTGATAAGGCTCCACATCCCCCGTGGTCAGCGAGTGTCAAAGGATGTGTTGTTTGAAACGTCAGTCTCGATCAGATGAAACTGTTGCAACCAGCCAGCGCGTCAGCTTAAGGTTGAATCTCATGTGTTCACCCATTTTTTGGACACATCTTTGACATATCGTGACATCGCTCGGCGAACTGGTTCCGAACTTGAGGGATGTCCAAAAGATATGGCGCAATTAAGTGTGGTTGTTCAACATGTTGAAACATGAAAGCAGGGCCCCCCCAGGGTGGTGGACATTCAGAACTTGAAGCTGGTTCTGGAGACCTTAGAGCCATCACGTCGCCATCCATTCAGGCAGGGCGAGGTGCTGACGTTGCGGGGCTGGAGGGTTGGAAAAAAAGCCGCCGGACAGCCCTAAATTTGGTCCCAAGGTGCTGGTAAATTCGTGGATGAACCATCTATGTGTCTTGATTTTCCTTCAGTGGCCTTCAATTTGCTTTTGATACTTTGCCCTTCCTTAAAAGATGTTTCAAGCATGTTTCCTGAATGGAATATTGCTGTTTAATGCTGTTTATATTCTTAAGCTTGTGAAAAACCGTAGACGCTGATCTCCTTGTCCCGTTACGGCACGGGTGATGTTGTCCGAGTTCAAGGTCAGATTTTCGTGAAGGCTGCTGCCTGTTGTAGATTGGTTTGTGAATTGTATATATAGATCAATCATGATCAATCATGATATTCTATATCTGTTCTATGACATAAGGTTGTGCCGCGGTGCCCTGTTATAAGTTGGGTTAGAACCCATTTGAAATTTGTAACTCTATTTGAACCAACTTACCGAAGTATAGGGCCCTGAACAGATCAGGTTGAACCAGTGCATGACCTTTCCGTACATCCAGCCAGAGGTGCGGCACGCTGTCGTTTAAATATGCTTAGACCCTCCAAGTGCCCAGAATTTATGGAAAAACAGTGAAACATGTGCCAACATATTGAGTATATTATCCTATTTTTATGGGTAATTGGAGGATCTAGATATATTGGATGATGATCCCCATGTCCACTTTGAAATGCGGTGAAACCACCAACTAGATAAGGCCGCTTTGCATCGGAAAGGTAGCAGGTCACCCAGGTCACCCGATCACCTGCCGAAACTCCATTCGAATCCCCACCAGGTCCTCATCCCTTTTGTCGCAAATAATGTCAACCCCGGATTAATAAACCCCAAACGGCTGTTTAATTGAGGGGTACCATTTCAGTATTGGATTATGACTATTGGAGGAGTACCCCCTAATGAATAAACCATGGTTTATTGGGGTTGACATTACAAAAGACGTTTTCATCAGAAAGCAAGGACTATGACTTTGAGTTCAACTTGAAATATGCGGATCATCGTTTGGCATGTTTGGTTGCGGCTGGTCTGCATTGCTGGGCTCGCTGGGCTCGGTGGGCTCGGTGGGTGGACGGCGCTTGGCGTTTCCCGAGTCCCCAGCGAGACGCGAGCTGCGAGGTCTTCAAACTCTGTGAAGCCGAGGGATGGAGCAGCGTGGAGGACCTGCAGGGATGGGCCAACCGGCCAACCGAAATCATCGCAGCAGAGGTATAGAATCAATATATAATATCTATATATATTATTATTTATATATATACCTAAGAAATGATTCTAAATACTTATGACATGGTTATGACTACCGAGAATTGTGGTCATTTCATAGGATTCGGATGGATGGATCTAGAGTTGAATTAGATCAGTAACTGGAACCACAACTGGTTGGTGGTTTGGAACATGGCTTTTATTGTCCACAATATATGGGAATAATCATCCCAAGTGACTCATATTTTTTCAAGATGGTCAACCAGATAAGCTTATTTCAAATTGCTAGTGCCCCATGACTTTGCCATTTTAGGAAAGCAGTTCTCAGGCGCTTGCGGGCCTTTTGCAGGCGTTTCACTTGAAGGTATGTTGTGCAAAGACAAAATAAGTGAGAGCCCAATTTGACCTATCTAGAATCTATACCTTTGCATTCTACAAGATAGATCAAAAACTGGAAAAGTACACAACATGTTCAACTATATAGTTGCGAAGGAGCTTTTTGTTGCTACTTTTTCTACATATCTTTGGGGGGCGCCCCCCGCAGGAGGGTGCCAGCTTTTGCTCGCTGGGCGAAGATGCGGAAAATGATGAAGTAAACTTCTGGCGAAGCTCCAAGGAGGCCATTGGTACTGAGTCATGGTTTCAATATGTTTCAATTGGATTATATGGAGATTGATTTAACCATAATCTATATGGATTTCAACATATGTTAACCAATAAATATGGGAATATGAATGATAAATGAACATTGGTTGATGATTTTTTTGGGGGGGATTCTATTAGCTCATATTAATCGGGGATTAACCAGCCAATTTTAAGGGACGGCACGTGGTTTTGAACACTGCTCAACTGCACTTGGATGGGTCATGGAGTTCCGTAAGTGGTTACTAAAGCCTCTAACCGGGTATAGCTGATGGATGTTCATGGGTTATAAGATGTTATAAGTCACTCAAACTCATCGTAACTGCATGGCCCGTCCAAATAGATGTCCTTCAGCGGGGCAACCCTCCATTCAGTAAGGAGGCGGTAAACAATGGTTTTTACAGAGTGAGCTATAAGGATGTGAAAACAGATGGCCATTATAAATACTTAAATGAAGCTTGTAGATTCTTATTGTAGGGCTTACGCGCTGCAATTTCAAGCTGCTGATTCTTCACCGCTGGTCATATACCCATTCTGGACCCACTAATGTAAAATTGGTCAAAACAGAAATTGGTTTCGAGATTCATTCTTAAAGAAAAAAAACACATGGTAAAATCAGATATGTTATCTGGTTCACTGTAGTTTCTGGGACACTCCCTGGCAGCCCCTCAGGCGAGCTTGGACAACCTGCCTCTGTCTCTTGGCCGAATCAGCGGGTGCCTTTCCGCGCAGAAAAAGGGGGACCTGCGGACCCTGAGACCCTTCATCTGGGGATTGGCCAATACCTATGGAACCGCTTTATTTTGGGATGAACATCCATAAAAATTCATCTATTTTGGTGCGAACGGAAGGGGTTGATGGGTTTTGACCCATAGCCATCTATGTTCGGAGGGCAACATAGGGCTACCCGGTCATAAGTTTGAGGATAGTTAAGATCTTCCCATATCATCCATTGTTGAGTTCGAAAAGAAGCAGAGGAAGATCGACCCTGAGCTTAGCTGAGAGCATCTGAACAGCGGCCCCACTGCTGGCTCTTTTTGTGGCTGAGGCATGGAATCTTTAAAGGAGCACTAGGGGATGGTAGCCGTGTGGGACCGGTCAACTGGGAGATGACTTTCCTATCGGACCTTGTTAGGTGTCGGTTCCCTGTAAGATTTTAGGGGTGCAGAATTTTGTTGCCCTGATTTTGCTTTGTAACTTGTTTGCTATCACCACGTCGCATCCACTAGGAAAGGAGTAACGCATCAATCTCCGGCCTCCAGCTTGCCAATTTGTGGAGGAAAATATCTGGGTTTCCTACATGGAAACCGAAATCTAAAGTGCCGCCGGCAGCTCCTGGAAAGCTTTGGATTTTGGAGCTCCAGCTGCATTTTAATCATGAAGATTGCACCAAGACAAAAAGCTGTTGCTATGCATAGTGAATTTTCAGATGGCTGAAAAAAATGTTGTATTCACTGTTATTGACTTGTTTCTGCGTTCTATATATAGGTAGAAGACAGTGGGGGTCACGCTGGGTCTCGTGGCATACGGTTTTGCAACATGTCTTTTTGGGCAATGAAATCCGATAGGAGGTTCTTGTTCAATGGGCAAGCTAGGGTTTACATGTACATGAACGGTGGCAAGACTAAACCTCCCATATTTTCTGGCAAAATTGGGCTTGAAAAAAGTTGCCATAACATGTGGAGAAATCCATCATTCTCAGCCACACCCAATGTCATACATGGTTGGCTATATATTGATCAATCGTACCACCATTGTTGATCCTTAAATCATCTTAAATTTTCACTACTTTTGATGGTTGAGTTCAGTCCCCATATTGTTTGGTTGCTTAAACCATCTTCGTAAACCTCCCATTTCCAAGGCTGATATCAGTGGATGGAAGAAATGCGGCACCTGCTGGTAGATGGCTTATCCCATTGTAATCCCATTATTTACAATGTTTCGTAGTTACCAATAGTTACCAACTGGTGCAGGATTTCTTCCATCCACAGTACCATATCAAATCATAGTTGATGTAATAATATATATATATATATACATATCAAAAACATATTATATATATATAGTTGTTATCATATTATTTGTTTTTTATGTGTATTCAACAAGTTAAACTTACCAATTTATATCGTTGTGATTGTCCGAAAACCCTCCGTGGCCTTGATTTTTTTCCAGGCCGGGTGCTGGAATCACAGAGGACCAGGTCTGTTGGTGCAGCCGCCCCGATGCGCCGCCGGAGATCTTCAAATTGGTGCCGCACGGACAACGGGTGGAACGGGATGCCAAGTGATTGGGTTTCCCATCATGAAACCCAAATATACATATAAAACCAATATATTTTAGTGGATGAACATCATATAAAATATATATTCCCATCATGTTTACAGATGATGTATATATTTTAATGGATGAACATCATATAAAATCATCTATACATCATCTGTAAATGGGGGGATCATGGGAATATAACCAGCCAAATCAATATGATATATGGTTGTTCAATGGAAAACAAAAGTAACTATCACTGGAATATACCTGGATATAATAAGAATTAATGAGATATCAACAGAAAATGTGTGGGAACATTTTTGGGGATACAATGGGACATCAATATGATCTGGATGAATTTGATCATGACCTCACGTCGTGACGTCACTGGAATGATGGTGAATGTATAGTATGGGGGAATCATCTCCAAATGGCCTTGTGATTATATTTATTTTCAGGTGGGTGAATTTTTACAATTCTGCCAGGTACATTGGATCATACCCAATTTGCTCCTGTGGAGTGATTGTTACAGTAATTTAAAATAAACTTCAAGCAAACGAGGTTGCGGTTCAGCGGTTCGCATTAGCGACAGTCATTCATATGGAAGGAGAGAGCTGGCATGTTCACCGATCTCAGAATCAACCCGAACCCGAACCTATCACCCAAAAATGATATACAGATGTACATAGTCATAAATGCCTGGGCTTTGCCCGGCTTTGCCCCGAACCGCACCGACGATGGGCAACGCATCATCATCATCATCATCATCATCATCAATTGAATGTAGATTTTAATATTCGCTAGTACCTTTGTTAATCTTCCCAATTTAATGTAAAATTTTATGGGGGTGGGATTTTAATATTCCCTAATATTTTTGTTGATCTTCCCAATTGAATGTAAAATTTCACGGGGGTGGGATTTTAATATTCCCTAATACCTTTGGAATGTAGAGTATAATCGGGGTTGGATTCTAATATTGCCCAATACCTTCGTTGATCTTCCCAATTGAATGTAAAGTTTCAACAACATTTGATTGGGAATGGGAACCCTCTACGCTGCAACGCTGGGGCACAGCCCAGGCGTTGCGCGTATATTTTCATACATATATCATACGTAATCATAATTCATAATTCATAGTAAATCATAAACATACATAATCATAAGTATATGTACTATAGGATCACATAGGTATCAGCTCCATGGCTAAAGTTTCACTTCATCATTGCCATCCGTCATCTTCCGTCACTTCCCTCCCAGGTGCAGTGGCTCATGCTTCACTATCCCGATGTCAACAAGGCGTTTTTTCGCTGCCGCGACATTCGTTGTCATAGGTGGTTCATGTGTATCCGGAAAAAAAGGAGCATGATGAGCATGCAGGACATACTGGTATCAACATGTATCAACAGTTTCAGAGCCCCAAAATAGCAACAAACACCCAAACTGTTTGATCCATGTTGGGTGCTCGATCCTCGTCTTTTTTATTTTTGAATCATATTTTGGAGCTTTCTGAGATCTGGCAGTGAAACATCAGCGATGCGAAACTCGCCTCAGGCTTTTGCACAGATCATCAAGAAGGTCCCAAATGGACTTCAAAGCAGCGGCTTCATGGCGATGGACATCATGGGATGTTTGGGGACCATTGGGGATCAAATTTGGATGGACATCCCATGGTTCCGGCGATTTTAAGCGTTACACTGGGGCATCAGGCTTTTGACCTGTAGCCAGATACATACGTCTCTTATACGTGTAGATATGCATATATATATATATACATAGAAATTCATGGAGAAACAAGAAAACAAGAAGCAAATTTCTCCAAAATGTGTTTTTCTTTTTTGGTTGTAGGGGGTTAATACACATACATATATATAATTATGTAGATGTGTGTGTCAAGACATGTAGCTATCAATTTTGATGATGTTGTGCCTCCAACTCCTCCCCATGGCCATGGCGAAATTTCAGGTACCAAGTCCTATTTTTGTTGAAGGAGCATTGAGCATCCCCATCCCTACAAACATATGCATATATGATCATATATGCATCTTCTAGATTCAAATTACACAACTGAATGCTGCGAATATGTATATCATGTATTTCCGCGCGTGTGTGAGTACAAACATGCCTGCACATATGCTGCTATGCCTATATATAATATGTATCTATTTGCCTATGTAACATATATAAATGTATAGACATGAACGTAAATACAAATCTGGTTGTTGGTTTCAAACATTTTTTATTTTCCAGAATATATGGGATAATCCTTCCCATTGACTAATATTTTTCAAGATGGTTAAAACCACCAACCAGATATAAATATGATGTCTATATTGTGTACCTGCTATATGGTGTTTCGAGTGCAACCCAATGCGGGCCCAACCATCCCATTCACCAAGCATGACCGGCATTGGGGATGATTTATGTCGTTGGGCTTACCACATTACCATAAACCATCCCGTTACATCATTGTTCATTATGATCATCCATTATCATTATCCATTATTACTACAAAATCATATAAAATCTATAAATTATGGTTATCCATTATCACTATCCATTGTAATAGCCCCACAATATCTGATGTTCGTATCTCATCTACCATTTCACGACTGTGATCCAGCCACCAGGTTCCATGACTGCCACGGAGTTCGATGAAGCCATGGCTGCCCTGAAGATACAAAGGCGCAGTTTTTTCCCCAGGGGGGTGCGGTTTGTTCATTGGGGGATTGTGCTCCTCAAAATGTGCCACATTTTTTACATGAAATTATAAAAACTATTTTTTTACATGAAATCCAAAAAAAAACTACTGAGAAAATCGAATCCAGCACGCAAGTATCCAGTGTACCGAAAAAGGAATTTGGCGATGGTGAAACTGCACTGCTCACGGCAGTGCTTGTGAAGCACTGCTCCCAGGAGGATGCCCATCCATTCACCCATGACTGCGAATGGTCATAACCATACCACCTATATGATGACTGGGGGATGGTGCGTTTATGACATGGTTAAAAACCCACATCATAAGGATTCCCATTTGGGATTGATGACGCTCGCCTCAAGGCTAGATGAGCATGGTGTGGATGCAGCTTATCGCAGCTTGCCTTGTTGATGTGTCAAAACATGGAAAACACTGTGGAAAATCGAGTTTTCCCAATGGTACATGATCTGAAAATGGTAAGCTTCCCATGTATCATATCATGATAGAGAACGAGAGAGAGAGAGAGAGATATACATAATATATATATATATATAGATAGAGATAGAGATAGATATAGATAGATTAGATAGATTAGATAGATAGATAGATAGATTAGATTAGATTAGATTAGATAAGATAGATAGATAGATAGATAGACAGATAGATAGATAGATAGATATATGCATGCGGCATGCGTGTGAAATTTTATGTTGGAGGGAGATGCAGAGCGGCCGTAGGCCCCGCTGCAATGATAAGGCCCAGTGATTAGCCGCTAATCTGAAACGCCCAGTCTCAATTCAGCCGTGTTCAAACCCTGCTATTATGGCTCACAATGAAAAGCGGAACGATTCGGTTGGTTGTACTAATCCAAATTGAGACATAATACATCCAAATGACAATTTAATAGATAATTGCGACCCAACATCCAGAGTTTGTATGAGTTTGTGGGTCCATAGGTTTTCAACACGAAGTTGGAACAGCCACCTTGAGGCTATCTCAGCAGCAACGATAGCCTTACACAGGCGCTGGCACCTTCTGTTGCTTTGAGCAATGCTTCGCACGTTCATTTCATGCATGTCAATCACCCATCATATATGCAGACAATTGCATATGCATATTATATATAGATATGAAGTATAATGTACCAACTTTGCTTGGCAATTTGCAAGCTGTTTTTTCCCGTATTACATCCGCTACACTTACCCTTGTTGTATCCACCATCATTACTTGAAGACAGAACTGGATTCATCAGTTACCTTACGGCGCCTTACGGCTTGCTTCAGTTGAGCAAGGGCTTTGTTCAAGGTATCACTTTATTGGTTTGGGTGTGCAGTTTGGGCCTCCTGAATCAGCTAGGGTTGAACACAAAATGTCGTTGAGTGTGCAACATGACTTGTTTGCTATTGGTAGTTTTGGCATTGATTTTTTCATACCCGCTTTTGTTGCTCACAATAAGAAGCATATCCCATGATCGGTAGGTGAATCGAGCAGCTTCCAGCGACCAAAATAAGATGCGCGACAGACTTAACTGTAACCTGGGTAATTTGATCCATCTTTGCCAGTGTTTTTCCAGAAAGACACATATCATTGGATTGTAAGAATATTGCTGGAAAACGAACCTAGTGATTCATTGACCTCCCATCTCTTCCGTATCTTTTACTGACTATATCCCAATATGAAATGTATGGTGCCATATTTTTATCCGATGTATCCCAATAATCTCCATACTTTGACATATCATTATGTTTCTGCTTTGGATAATAACTACCTGATTATCCACAATCATCCCCATTGTTAAGTATTGTTAACAGGTTATCTCCATTAGATACTTTTGTAAACTCCAGGGCTTCATATAATATCCCAATTATCTCCCCAAAAAAAACCAGAGTCCCAAATCAACATTTCCAGATGACGTTGGCAAACTGCGTTTGGCATTGGCATTGCCTCCAGGCCATGTGGAAGAAGTTAGACCCCTTCGTGGTGACCTTCCGCCTCCATGCGCAGGCATATGGGGGGTCAGGATATTGGGGTTACGGATTGGGAATCGGAGGTCGCAGCTCAGCTGCCAAACACGGTGGCTTTGATGGTGATATGGTGTGATAATTATGTACATGGCTGGATTAATGACTTTCCATATGTTGGGAATGGAATGGACTAATCATCCCAACTGACGAGTTGTCCATCATTTTTCAGGGGTGGGTATACCACCTCACCAACCAGAAAATCATGTTATTCGAAATTCGAAGTGAGAAAAACAGAACTCCATGGCGGATGAGACTCACTGATTGCAGATTTTTGTACTCAAACATGGCCTTCAAACATCAATTGGTGAATCCATAGGCCTTAAGTCCCCGGACGCTGAAAAAAGGGGACATTGGACCGGAAACGCCCTGCTGTTTGACGCGAACATGGTTTCCGGCTAAGATGTTCCCATAAGCCCACGGAAAAAAAATCGTATATTTGGATTATTTGGAGTGTAAATTCCCATAATATGTCCATAAGTGTCCACATGTTGTTCCATCTTTTCCCCATGCCAAGTGATGTTTCAGTTCAACACCATGGTCAGCTTCACAGGACTTCACTGGCTTCATGCGAAGCATTGCGCCGTGCTTACCGCGGGATGGGACTGCGGAGTGCTCGGCTGATCATCCCACTTTTAGAGTTTAGAGGGTTGATAACCATGGCTATAGCCCAGTTACATATGGGATGTCTTACCAAGTGGGGTGACCCTGCAAGAAGTAATCAGCCCCTTTAGAATAGATAGGTGGATAGATGGAGAGATAGATGGATAGGTAGAGAGACAATATGTATGATTGGGAATGCGTTGTAAATGAAAGCTAATATGCTTATATGGCGTCTAAACATGCAGGGAACAGCCCCAAATTGTTATATTATATATATAATCACCATTTTCAGACACACCCATATGCTCCATGGAGTAGTCATCAATACCAAAAAAACATCCAAATCAGGATCAATATCCCAAACATGCAGCCTATGGGATTGGTACCTGTGACATCCTGTGACCATATCCCAAGTGGAGCATGTGCCCCGTGACATACCGCCTGCTGGTCATCCTTGCCGGACCCCCTGCAGCCCTAGAGTCAAGGCAAAACCTTGCTCAAACTGGGGCTTGGTCCAACAAAAATCCATCACTCGACTCAACCAAAAAGATACGAGTTGAGCACAAGAATCAACTGCTCACGGCACAAAATTTGCAGAACCCATGGGTAGCGAGCATGTTTCATTTTGCATTCCATTTCCAAATCTCGATATTTTGCATTGACTTCTGACGCTGAATGTCGCATACGTCACCTTCAAGTCATGTAAACCCACCATGCTTATCATTTTTTTGGGAAGGCCAAAATCCACTTTGTCTTGGCAGTCCCGCTTTCAGCAGCAGCCCAACGCGACCGTGGCACCAATGCCGGCCCCTACGAAGCAACTGAATCTCCTCTGCGTCGATGCCGACGGCGCCACCCAAACGTTCCGACTTCCAGTGGCATTGGCCACCGGTGAAGAGGTTTCTGGTCGCATTTTGCTGATTTTGGCTGTGGTGGACCATGCAATTGGTGATAGCCGGTTAGAGCCGAAAAAACGGGTCCTGTTAGATCCTGTTATCGACTACAGTAATTGGTAATTATAGAGTTGAGTTGTAAGCCACTTACTAACCAGCCCACAAACTCCATGGCCCATCTAAATGGTTTTTGCTTTCTGAATATATGTGTTACCTCAACTTCTCCTGTGACTGTGGAAGTCGTCTAATTTGACAACCTTTGTCGGGCGGTGTTATTTTTTCCATTGGTTGGTTGGTGAAACCCACATTGCAGTGAACCCAGAAAATCTCCAACTTGGTCGACCTCTTAAGGGTGCGAGCAACTGGAAATCCGGTCGATACACCCGCCCCATTGTGGTAAACCCAATGCTGAACCATTCCCCCCATTGGAGTTTGTTATGGGCATATCATGGCATATCCCTATTTAGGATGATGATCATGGATGATGTAAAAATTACATTCAAATGGTTGGTTAATGGAATGCTTCATGGCATTAGGTCTACCAGTTTACCACATTAATTGATTCATTGGGGTAGCAGTGGTAGCACCCCAAAAGTATGCATTCCTTGGTCCACATTGCGCCATGCAGCTAGCTGGTGATTGATGGTGGCTTTTCTAACAGATTCTAACCCATGAACGATACAAAGTTGTTGCCCCATATTCGGCCCATTGCATAGCCCCAGTCATATCCCCATTGTAACAATCTCCTTTGGTTGATGGTTGAAGATGGAAGGAAAAACATGTCTCATGGTTCACTGGCTTTCACTAGCTCCATGGCCCATCCAATGCTGACAGCACAAACTTAGGTCCTCTTACAGTTGCAGAGCCGCCGTGAGTCTTGCAGCAAGGCGGTGACAATCCCAACCGGGTAAGCATGAAAGCTTGATAAACAATTGGTAAACCGTGCTTGGGAAAGTCTCTAAAGTTGGTAAGCTGCTGTTTTTTCTACGATACATGGCGTATACTGTACTTGGGCAAATAGTCATGACCTAAAGGATTTAGGGCAAATTTGGGGAAGCGGATTTATAGAGCGATCTAAAACGACCTGACCAAAAGACACAATGAATATTGCAGAAGTCATCACCTTGATAGCCTGAAAAAAAGAATGGAGCAGTGTTCAAGTGTCCTGTTGGTTGACAATTATAGGGGATTATACTGTGAAGTATACTGAGGATTATCATGATCATTTGAGATTGACAAGCTCTTATTTATCGAAGATAATGGTATCATTGACAGCTGTGGAGGTGATATCGCAAGTGGTTCGCAAGTGAGAACAATTCAACAGTCATCAGCACGGATGGATAGATGATGATAGATGGAGATATTCAGAGAAAGAGCGAGAGAGAGAGAGAGAGAGAGAAACATAAAAACAAAAATAAGAAAGAAAGAGATATATATAGATAGATATAGGGAAATGAAATAGCCCGGACTGACATTTGCCAAACCTAAATAGCTGAATGAGCCCAACGTTCATCTAGGGAGCTACTGCATGGCAGGTGTGGAGCCTCGTCGGTGTCTGGTGGAAGTGGACAACGAGAAATTTGGCTTGACCGACCTCTACCACCAGGGCATGGACGAGAAGAAGCACTGCGTGGTGGCCGTGGAGATCAAGACCTATGGCCTATGGCTGGGAGACAGACAAGACCTACTGGGAGGCCATGGAGATCGAGACCTATGGCATGGACTGGGGGGAGCACTACTACCACATGGTGGTGGAGACCAAGACCTATGAGGCGGAGCCTTGTCAAAACCTACGGCTGGGAAACGGACAAGACCTATGGGGAGGCTATCGACTCGGCGGAGCACTACTGCCACATGGCGGTGGAGACGGCGACCTAGGACCCTTGTGGTCAAAACCCTACGGCTGGGAAACGGACAAGACCCTATCGGTCGAGATCAAGACCTAAGGCACGGACCGTGTGGGGCACTACTACCACATGGCGGTGGAGAGCAGCAAGACCTTTGAGGCGGAGCCTTGTCAAAACCTACGACTGGGAAACGGACAAGGCCCTATCGAGATCAAGGCCTAAGGCACGGACTGTGTGGGGCACTACTACCACATGGCTGTGGAGACCAAGACCTATGAAGCGGCGCTTTCTCATCAAAGCCTGCGGCTGGTAAATGGGCAAGACCCACGGAGAGGCTATCGAGATCAAGGCTTAAGGCATGGACTGTGCGCGGCACTACTACCACATGGCAGTGGAGACCATTACTGCCGGAGGAGGTGGACCGGGCAAACAGGACAAGATTTGATACGGAACATGGAGATCACGATCTATGGCACGGACTGGGTGGAGCACTACTACTACCACACAGCGGAGGAGACCAAGACCTACTGCTAGAAGGTGGATCTTAGTGACCACGACCTACGGCTGGAGATGGACAAACCACACGGGGAGCCCATGGGGATCAAGACTTGTGGTGTGGACATGGCGGAGCACCACTACCACCAAACAGCGGTGCAGACCACGCCTACTTCCAGAAGGTGGACCTTTGTCATCAAGACCTACGGCCGGGAGACGGACAAGACATATGGGAAGGCGATGGAGATCAAGACCTATGGCATGGGCTTGATGGAGCACTAGTACTACCACATGGTGGTGGAGACCTATGAGGTGGAGCCTTGTGATCCAGACCAGACCGGGACCATGGAGATCAAGACTTAAGGCATGGACTTGCTTGGTGGAGCACTACTACCAAATGGCAGCTGACAGACACGCACCTACTGCCCGCAGTGACCAAGACCTACGGCTGGCAAACGGACAAGTTCTACACGGAGGCCATGCAGATCATGACCTATATGGGCTTGGCGGAGCACAAATGGAGGTGAAGATCAAGGACGGTGAGCTATAGTGATCAAAATGTACGGCTGGAAAGGGACAAGATCTAATTACGGGAAGGGCATGGAGATCAAGATCTGTGGCATGGGCTTGGTGAAGCGCTACTACCTATGAGGTGGGCCTTGTCAAAACCTACTGCTAGACAAGACCTATAGGAAGGCTATCGAGATCGAGACCTATGGCCCCGGCGGAGCACTACTACCATGGCAGCTGAAACCAAGACCTATGGCTTTTAGGTGAAAATGTTCTTCTGACACCAGCAAACAAGCTGCTGGAGCGGGAAGTTGCGCCCAATCGATTCTGGCCCGAGCAGGTGCAGAGGGAGTTCAGGATGGTGGGACAGCCAATGTCCCCCGCGGAGGCGGCTGAGGACCGAGGAGGCGACAGGAAGCTGGGATGTGGCAAGAGGGAGTGTCTCATCTTCAAAGCTATTTCCTGGATGGAGGAGAAAGTCTATCAAAGACCAGGACACGGTGAAGATGAATCGGGCTTGACCGACCTCTTCCACTAGATCATGGACGACAAGGAGCCCTACATGGTGTGCGACAGGGAGACGATGCTCATTGCCTCCTGGACAGATTCCACAAAAGACAAGGACAAGGTTGACAAGACGGTGACCAAGGTCATTATGCCAGCCGAGCGCAAGTTTCGGGCACATGGCGTGGCGACGGAAGTCTAGAAGACCGACACAGGTCACGTTGGGTGTGGACAAGTGGCTACCACCAAGATTGCTCATTGTCTTTCATGGCCTTTACATATTCAAGTCGCAGTTGTTTGAAGGAAAAGAAAATCTACGGCCCCTGCGTGTGTCTGGAAATGATGTATACTGTGTACCCATGTGCGCCCCCAAATATTCATTTCAATGTGGCCAATGGTGATTACTGTAATCAATGGGCTCAGGACCCCTCTATTTCATTATAATTACCCATGGTTGGTTGGAAGGCCAAAACGGCGCGTTGAAGATGGAAATGAGATGTTCTATAGTGACCAACGTTGTCTTGCAGCACTTTAGTGACATGAAAATGCTGGGCCGTGAAAGATCGCAAAAGTAAAATTGCTTCGCGAAAGGTGGCGAAAGCTAATTTTTGGTGTTTCTTCATGACATGCCGTCCTTTTTGTGCCAATATATCTCTGAATGGTTGGAACAAAAGGAAGCATTCGTTGGTGATTGTAAGTTACCACGTTACAAAAAGTTGGCAGGTTTG